ACACACACACACACACACACACACACACACACACACACACACACACACACACACACACACACACACACTGATGAAGAGGCTCCCGACTCCGGGGGTCTTGCTCCAACCCTGAGTCAGCACCCGGTTCGGGATTGTTACCGCACAGGCTCAGAGCCCCTGGTCCCTGGGTTCTGCGGCTTCTACTATCAGAAAAGTTCTGACCTCCTCAACATGCCAGGTGCAGGCACAGCACGTTCCTTCCCTGTGACCGAGACTGGAAACCGCCCTTTTTTAATGTCCACGTCAGCGGAAAGGGACCGAGGCAGCCAGGTTTCCAGTAACTTTCAGGCCATGTCAAAGCCACAGATCCAGGGCATTACTGAGACCCGTGCCCTGAGGCTGCGGTGAAGACCCTGCAAGAGCAGGCTGCTTAGCATTCGCAAGGCCTGGGGTCTGATCCCCAGCACCGGAAAACAACAACGAAAGACAAAAACAAGTCCAAACCAACAAAACAGCAAAACCATTCCCAAGGGCAGCGTATGCCAATCACAGTTCCACAGAAAGTTCAGTTTTCTGTACTTCTCAGCTACTGAAAACGAACTTTTTACTGCCGGTGACTCACAAGGACCTGAGCTCAGAGCCCCTCAGTACTGTGCCTTCTTCCCAGACCCCGGCTGACAGCCTGCAGCTCACCTTCCTCTGTCTCTGGCTCAGCTGGCTCCAAAGGTTTCTTTCTTTTTTTCTTCTGCCTTCCTTGGCTCAGGCCGTCATTTTCATCAGCAGAAACATCCTCAGAGAAAACAAGGGCAGATGCACCGCCTGCGGGGGGCCAGCACCACACATCAGCCCACCACGGCCAGGAGTCGGTCCTCACTCAGCCCTGGGGTGAGATTTCCACCCAACTGTTTCCCGGCCTGGCCAGATGCTGGTGATGGAGAATCGCACGCTTAAAACTGGATTCCTCAACCCAGCGAGGCATGGGTTACAAACCATGGCCGACAGACTGACCCCTCTGCAACTCAGCCCTGGCTCGCAGTCCTGCCCCCAACTCCAAGTGCCCAGCAAGGGGCAGAGGACCGGCTGTCAACTTGCTCACATGTAACTGAGCTTAGCAGATCTTTGTTTCGGTTTTGGACTGGGAATTGAGCCCGGGGCCTTCACACTGGGCTACAGTCCAGCTTTTTGTCCAAACTGGGCTCAAACTTATGCTCCTCCCACCTCAGCTCCCACAGTGCTGGGATTACAGGCGTGCAGCACCACACCCAGTTCATCTGATCTTTCTAAGGAAAAATCTGATTTCTCAGAGTTCTCTTCATTTGCTTTTATGATTATGTTTTTCTGAGGACCAACTGCTGTAAAGCCAGGCACACACTTGTAATCCTAGCACTCTGAGGGGCCGGGGCCCAGCTCAGGCAATTTAGTGGGACCCTATTTTAAAGTGAAAAAAGAAAAGCGCTGGGTATGTGGCTCAGAGGGAAGTTTCTGGATTTTTACTTCTCAGTAGCACACACACATGCGTGCACAAAGCAATCTTCCCTGCCCAATAAAATGTACCCAATAAAAAACCCAAACAGAACATTGCACTACCCGTGAAGAGAGCAGCCGGCCCTGGCCCCAGCGTTCCCGGGGCTCAGGATGGAGAGCTGGAGCCCGCAGGGGCCTGCACTCGGGCACCTCCCACAGGCTGCAGCCCCAGGAGACCTGGTCAGCAAGGGACCTTCAACCGAGCTGCCTCCAGGGGGCAGCATCTGAATCACACTCTGACCCTCCTCACCTTCAGAGAGGTCTTGGAACCTGGAAAAGAGAACAAAGGGCACCGGAGTCCATAGAGAAACCTCCTTTCCGTCTTCCACACAAAGGCGCCAGGCCCAGCGGCACCCAGCCCTGCCTTCCACTGTGACATCAGGCATCCCCATGTCACCAGTTCTCTTCCTTCTGCAGCACGGAAGGCGGGTGCCGGTGGACACCAGGGAGGGCCCAGGAGGAGGCCGCTCCATCACCACCCGCAGGGCCCTGGAGTGCATGCAAAGTAAGACCCTGAGAAGCTCGCTCAGTGATCGCCTCCCTTGTTTCTGAAGGCAGCGAGGCTGAGACCTCCCTTAGACGTGCCAGTGCCAGTGCCCGTACCTGCCAGCGGGCAGCAGGGTGAGGCCAGGCACGGGAAGGCAGCTGGGTCCAGCTCGGATGGTGGCAGCCTCTGCCCACTACTGCCCTCCTCCGGGCCTGCAACCACCCAGCTGAGCTGGGAGAGGAGCCGGGCATAGCAGCACATGCCTATCGTCCAGCACTGTGGGAGGCTGAAGCAGATGGATCACAAGTTTGTGCCCAGCCTGGGCAGATTATCGAGACCCTGTCTCAAAATAAAAAAATGAGGGGTGGGGATGGAGCTCAGTGAGAAGGGCCGGGGTTCAGTCCCCAGGACACACACACACACACATACACACACACACACACACACACAGAAGAAACAGAGAAGCTACCTTCTGGGGTCTTCTTGGCCTGAATGATACACAGCAGTGCCCACACAAAGAGTTGGGCAAGACAGCTGGTGCTCCCCATGAGCCACAGCAGCCACAGCGCTTGAGTGAACCCAGGTCACCACGCATCCCCGCAGCTGGAGATGTCGGCACTGACTTCCGCGCTAACTGACCCTTTGGGCATAAATGCTCGCTCAGAGGCCAGAGCCAGGGAACATGCCACCCATCTCAGCAGACTGGCACATCGCCCGGGCTGTCACTTGTGGGCAGTAACAGGATTCTCTCTACGTCACATACAACAGCCGGGAAACGAACATGACAGCAGTGGAACAGAACCAGAGGAGCAGGGGAAGCTGTTCTGATTAATCCTGTTTATGTACATGTTACTCCACTGTGAACAAAGCAATCAAGGAATGCTGGTGGGAATGCAGACTAGGACAACCACCATGGAAGTCAGCGTCGAGACTCCTCCCAACACTGGCATTCCAGAGTCCCCATGATCCAGCTGGTCCTGCCTCGGTACCGTTAAAGACACCACGTGACAGTGATCCACGCACACCCACGTCCAGAGCAGCACAACTCACAACAGCTAAAGCCTGGACATGGCCTACACGTCCATCAAGAGTGGAATGGATAAAGAAAGCGTGGTGTTTACACACCACGGGTACTACTCTGCCACAAAGCAGGACCAACTGGAGTCATGTGTAGGAGCGTGGATACACCTCAAGACCAATCAGGCTAAGTGAAATAAATGCGACACAGAAAGTCATGTTGCATGATTTCTCTTACACGAGAAACCCCAAGTATAAACACGTTAAGCAGCAAAATAAAAATGTACGAAACTGGAAAATAGACCCTATTACAAATGGGAAGGGACCGAGAGGCGGAGGGAGGGGACGGAAGAAGAGTGGAGATGAGGTCTGTACGTTCACAGCGCCCCACAGGGAGGCAAGCACTATGTGCTGCAAACACGGACGCATAAAAACAAACGCTTTCTAAAGGCAGTGAGGAAAAAAGATAAAAAGGTAAGCAGAGAGCGGGGCCTACCCCAGGACACACGCAAAGGGACCCTCGCAGCGGACCGCTTACCTCCTGATGAGCTTGCAGAGGCGCTTCCGGTTGAAGGGAGGGGTGTTTTTCCTGCTGGTCACTTCCAGGAGTCGGTCGGCAACCGCCTTGTAGTCAAACTGGGAAGAGCGGAGGCACGTAAGCCGGCAGCTCTGCTGCCCCGCAGGACGAGAGACCCTGGGCGCAGGGCGTAAGCTCTGCTCTGAAACACCAGGCTGTGACTCCCAGGAGGGGCGTGAGGCCAGGAGCCCCCCTCCCCTCCATTCGGGAGCAATACACGCTGCACAATCTGTCTAGATGCGTTTCTTTTCCCATAGATTTCCAAACCATACTTGGTAACACAGGAACCCTTCTTACTTCCAAGTGCTGCACCATAAAATGTGTAACAGATCTCGGCAGCTCAAAATTCAAAAGACTCGTGTCTTTCAAAATTCTACCCCATTTTTTAAAAAAAGCTGTTTTTTCTTTTCTGTTTTTTGCAGTACTAGGGCTCAAACCCAGGGCCTTTCCAGAAAGCTACATCCCCAACCTTTCTTACTTTTTACTTTGGGACAGGGTCTCAGTAAATTGCTAAGTTGCCCAGACTGGACCGGAACTTGTAATCCTCCCGCCTCAGCCACCCAGAGTGCTGGGATCACAGGTGTGCACCACCACACCAGGTGTCCAATAAGCTCATTCTCAGAAAGGTGACATCAGTGATGAAAGGGATTACAAAGGACTTACACCTCAGGCTCTGCAGCTTCGTTGGCTCTGACCCAATTCTCCAGTGGGGCCACCCCTGCCCCAAATCTCTATTCTATAAACAGCAACAACCGCCCCACCTGGAGAAGCCGCCCCATGTCCTCGAGGGTTCCACAGCCATGTCTCTCTCTGTCACCACTGATCCCATCTCTCCTGGATTGGCATTTGCCCAGCGCTGTCAAAACACACCCAGAGACAAAATCCTTGGCATGGGAGGTATACAGCAATGGCCGCTTCCACAACTAACCAGGCGCCTTTCGGCCTTCAAAGGGAGGCCCTGCACCAGCAGTCACGGCCCCGAGGCGCTCTGGCAGCTCAGAGTTCGCTGGGAGAAAGCAGGCACATGTCTGTGTTTGCTATCACAGCCCCCCACCTTAGGTGTCCCCGCCACACGCCGTGTCTTCTCAGTGGCGCTTGGACTCCAGAGGTGGGTCAGGACCACGCGGAGGGCAGAAACCTGGGAGCCAGGCCCCGAGAGCCAGGCAGCTCAGGCCACGGTGAGACCTGCTCGGCCTTAATGGAGACACCCCCGAGACCAGGAGCGTTTGTGGATTTAGGAGCTCTTGGCATTTTAGACATCTGCAGACTTTACAGCTGAGCATCCTTTACCCAAAAGGTGACACACTCCAAAATCAAGAACTTTGAGTGTTACGTTGAGCTCAGAAAGTTCCAAATTTTGAATTAGCGATGCTTAACCCGTGCCAGGACACTATCTTCTCACAAGGCTGCCCAGGAAGCACCCAGAATCCTGCTATCCATAACTGACATTTTGGTCTATTCTGTCTTTTCTTTGAGGGATTTGCTGTTTTGTTTCTTTTTGATACCGGGGATTGAACTCGGGTCCTTGAGCTTGTGAGGCAGGCGGTGGCACCACTGAGCTAAATCCCCGGCCCTGTTTTGTTTCTTTTTTAATCAAACTTAGGGCCTTGCGCTTGCCAAGCAGGCATGGCACCAGAGTTACATCCCCAGCCCGGCATTTTGGTATATTATTCCACATTACTTAAAAAAAATTTTTTTAACTTGACTTTTTTGAGACAGGGTCTAGCCATGTAGTCCAGGCTGGCCTGAAGCTAGCGATTCTCCTGCTTTAGCCTCCCAAGTGTTAGGATTACAGGTGTGCACCACCATGCCCTCCTGTCCTTCTGGATTTTTAAAGACATGGCTAAGCATCAGTCCCTTCTACACACTGTTTTGTGTCTTACTTTTAAAAGAAACAAGTTACTGAACTTCCTCTGCTCATTAGTTTTTAGAAACTGCTTCTCAGTAGATAGAAAACACTTCAGGAGGTAAATTCCGACCTGACCACCTCGCTTTGGGCACTGAGATACCACAAGCTCCTGGGGACAGAAAGCAACAGTGGGAGCAGTGTCAGCCCGTGGCAGGTGTTTAAATGCCAAAGGGAGAGAACCTTAAAGAAGCCAGGAAGGGAAGGAGAGCCAGGGAGGCGAGCACACCCCTAAGGACCACACAGTGTTGCATCAGGGGGCTCTTCCAGTGCCCATGTAGCAGGTGTGCACACAGCAACCCCGACATGACAGCAATGAGGGGATGCCCCGGAGGGCAGAGACACAGCGTGAACGAGCCCACATGCAGGGGTCTCGAGTCCCCCCAGAGCCCTAACAGGCACAGGTGCTCCACTACACCCCACTTCTACTCTCAGAAGGGGTCCTAGGCCAAGCCCCGCCCCTCAACAACTCCAGTCTGTGTGCAGTGTTCGCCTGATGAGGATTCACAAAAGGACATAGCCAAAGCAGAAATGGAGAGAAGAGTCAGGTATGGGGGCACACTGACAGCTACCTGGGAGGCTGAGGCAGGAGGGTTTTAAGATCAAGGCCATCTCGGACAACTTAGTGAGCCGGAGTCTCAAAATAAAAACAAACCAAAGACAAAAACAAACAAAAACCACTCAAAGGAACTGTCTTACCTGCTTTCTTTTTCACTGCTTTTTTGCTCAGTGTCTCATTCGCAGGAGTCTCTTCTCCAGAGAGGTCACCGTCAACCCCATTCTGTTCCTCCACTGCCTCTCCAGGTACAAAGGAAGACTGATCTGCGATGACTTCAAAAACACCCCTAGCTATGGTCTGCACCAGTGTGTGGCTGAGGGGAGAAGCACAGCAGGGAGAACGCCATTACCACGCTGATGGGGACCCAACTGAATGCACGCGGGCCGAGGGATGAGCAGCAGGGGGCACTGTGGCTGAGACTGCAGCGGGCCTGGGGTGTGGCAGTCGCACTGGTGGGCATCTGGAGCCCTCAGGATGTGTGCATGTGATCAACTGCCGATGCTGGATCCCCAGGCGCTGTGGAGAGGCTGCGGGGGTGGGGGGCAGGCGGAACCCTGGGAGTGGAAGGGTTGAATCAAGGCTCGCTTCAGATGTACATCAGCAGGAAGGAAGCACGGAGTCTCCACTCTGGGAACCCACCCGCTGCCTAGCACCGCCTCTCAGAGACCCCGGAAGAATCAAGCAGCAGTGCAGATACTTACTCCTTAGTCTTGGCAGCAATCGTGCAGAATGGGTCGATAAGCCTGAGGTTCTGATCTGCCAACAGCTGTGATCGTAGACACAACAGGAAACAATGAAAGGCAATGCCGTGCCCCGAGGAAGGAGCCGTGAGCATTTCTCCGAGGGCGAACCAGACGCAGACACACGCGTCACACAGACCCGGGCCCGCTTCGCCTGAACGCTGGGGCCTGGGCCAGGCTCAGGTGGGGGCTCCGCTCCAGCCACTGAGCTACCTGAGCCCGGTCAGGGCTGCCCTATAGCACAACTCACGGCCCTTCTGAGAGAACCTCTGTGTGGGCACCATCTCCAAGGACAACACCAGTGTTCTGGCTTTAATACAGAACATTTTAATAAAAAAGGGCTCACCACAGGGTATTTGTCAAAGAAGAAGTAAAAACAGTCCGTATCCTCAAATTCAGATCATTCGCCTTCTAAAAATGTACTTTTCCTTGTCAGCCTTTTATCTATGTTTAAATGTTTAAAAAAAAAAAAATTAAGTCTTTGTCTCATGCCTTCTGTACTGCTCCCGAAATACTTAATATATCCTGAGGCTTCTCTGCATTATGGAATTCTATACTGGGATATGTAGGTTGTATTCAACCGTCCTTTTTTCTCTTCTTAGAGACAGACTCTCCCCATGCTGACCAGGGTGGCCCCAAACTCCTGGGCTCAAGCAATCCTCCTGTCTCAGCCTCCTGAGATTACAGCTGCAGGTCGTTGTGCCTGGCTCAATTTTGTTTTCTAAGACTGTCACGTACATCCTTAGTATACTAACCCCTGTCCACATGTCCCTGTAGCTGCTTACATCACACCCCAGAGCGGAGGGCTGGGGGGCTGAACCCATTCACGCTGCTGCGTCACCGGTCTGAGTGCCAAAGGGCAGCGACGATTTGGCTATGACGATTCCCACAGCAGCTGTGACCCTGTCCCACGGTGGGCAGAACGTCCACCGGCTTCTCACCTCCGTCCCTCCAACTCTGGACAGTTCATCCAGGTAGATGTCAATGAAGTGGAACCTGACGTCATCAGGAGAATGACTCTCGGGACTCAGGAGCTCTGTCCTCAGGACGTCCAGGAACAGCTGGATGCAGCTGGAGGGAGACACACGCGGTCTTTTAACGACAGCGTGCCAGCTCCTCTCAGCTCCCCGAGACAGAACAGTGTCTAGTGCTTATCCTGCGTGACGCAAGGCCAAGAGTTTTATAGGAAGAAACGATCACTTACATCACTATAAAATGTCAGCTCGTCACATGGGTGTAATTATTTTATGCCCCTCTAATGGAAACTAATTAAGTCCTCTCTGAGTAAGAACCCATTTTGTAGTAGGCACAAAGCACCCTACAATTTCTTTTCCCCATGGTGCAAGGGATCAAAACCCGGGTCCCAGGCACACTAAGCAAGTGTGTTCCACCACTGAGCTGCACCTCCAGCCTTTACAAGTGCTCCAGCCCATCATATTTCCCAACAAGCAGTTTCCTAACCTTTCTCGCCAGCCGTTCTGCTTCAGAACTTCCAGGGACTGCCGCAGGACCAGGCGGATCAGCTAGACAGACAAGTTTTGTTAGAAAGGGAAAGGATGGGGCTGGGGATTTAGCTCAGTGGTGCCGCACGGTCCCAAGTTTGATCCCCAGTACCCAAAAACAAGAAAAGGAAAAGGAAGAAGAAGAAGAGCAGAGGGTGCCGCTGGGGACCACAGCCAGTGTCTCACACTAATTAGGCAAGCGCCCTGCCACCTGAGCTGCCCCTGCCTGGACAGAGATGTTAATCAGCCTGGATCCCCTCAGGGAAACGAGCTCTGTAAGTGTATTTAACCTCTAGGTCAGAAAGCATTCAGAGGGTCCCCAAACTCCTCCCCCACGGCTCAGAGCTGCAGCAGTGGCAGAGCCTTCAGCACACACCCGGCGCTGCCCACGACCGCTCGGCTTCGTACCGGCAAGCACTGCTTCACAAAAACTTACTTTTTTGGGTACTGGGTGAGGACTGAACCCAGTGCCTTCAAACTGAGCCAAATCCCCAGCCATTTCAAAAATTCTGAGATTGAGTTGCTAAGTTGCCCGGGCTGGGCTCAAACTTTCCAGCCCTCTGCCTCAGCCTCCCCACCCCACTGCAGTGCTGGGGATGGAACCCAGCACCTCATGCATGGTAGGCAAGGGTGCTACCACTGAGTACAACCGCGGCCCCCACTGGCCTTAAGACACAGCACCTGCTGTCTGCACGCGAGCTCTGCAGGGCCGCGCGGGCCAGGGCGCATCGCCTCACCGTGCGGTATTTGTCCAGGCGCAGCTCGTCTACCTCCTTCCATTCTCGATTCATAGTTTGCCAGAAGGTCCGAAGGAAGAGGTGTTCTGCAGAAAACCAGAGGCTCTGAAGGTGTGCCCTCCGCGTACGGTGTGACCAACAGCCAGAACACAGCAGACAGAGGCAGTCTGTACGCACTTCTCCCGAGAGCTCTCAGGCAGGTAGAACTGACCGATCAATCGTTGTCCTTGTCTTCACACAAGAGCACAGTAACAGGAAGCCACATGACGGCTCCTAACAGAACGCACCCAGGGATTTCTACGTATCCACTGCCAAACCAGGTTTCTATTAAAACCAAGATCCCGATTCACACCCCATCCTTTCCAATGCATCCACCCCAACAATCAACATAAAACCACTACAAAAAGAAAAAGAACATTAATCTTGATGAACACTTGTACAACTCATGCAGAAGCAGTTTTGTGCTGGCTACTGGGAGTCACGAAGGTGAGCTACAGTACAGACTACAGCACTTTTTCACTGAATTTCTTAATTCTGAATTTACTTTTTCTGCACAATTCTTACCACATGTAAACCTACCCTGCACATCCCACATAGAATTTTGGTCATTCCGAGTCAGCTAAGTTGGAGACCCACTGAAGCCTCCCCAAGTCACTGGGTTTTGTTCTGAGGAGCACCAAGCAGAACTATCAGCTCTGCCGTCTGTAATCAAAGCCTGCCTCAGAAATCCCCTTTTTGCCCCTTCACCTTTTCTTTCTGGTAGGAATTACTTTACAGTTTATTACTGGTGATGTCCTGTCAGCTGACTGAATGACTGATTGCCAGCACCGGGTCTAATCTTGGGGAGATGCACCCGGCATCAGGGATTACTGCACAGGCTGGCATACGAGCCCATGACTCTGAGTGCATTCCAGTGACGCAGACCCTGGAGACTCTGAGGACTGTCGACGCTCCACAAGGCACCTCCTCCCTGCTCTGAGACTCAGGATCTAGCATGCGATTAGAAACCAGAACAGCTCATCACGTGACATGCACAGTTATGGCACCGGCGGGCACCCTGGGAAGCGGAAACTGAAGGAAGAAGAAACCACACCGACTCGATTTCCTAGGCAAGTTAGTAGACCAATGAACAAGGAGTTGTGAAAGTGGCAGGACTTACGGGCTTCCGAGTTGTTAACAACATGGATGAGTTGGGAAATAGTGTTTGCCAGCTCCTCCTGCAAAGGTGGGTTGGGGAGAAACACAGGTTATCAAGGTCAGACTGCGATGCTGCTCCCTCCCGCCGGCGGGGAAGCCTGCACTCCGGTTCTGGCTGCTCTGCTGCTGGGGCTGTGACTCCATATCTGGGTTTCATCAAACAGGAAACTCCCAACTGAAAGTGCTGCTGTGCTTGCTCCAGGTGACGTGCCTCTGGGAAGGGCTGAGCCTTGTGGGTAAGAACACACTTCCACCCCACAGACAGTAGCTGCCAAGCTGTCACTAAGCTGAGTGTCAGTCACAGTCCCCCAGCAGAGAAGAGAAGACGCGGGACTTCCTCACTGCACTTGCCCATGGGATCAGGTCCTCTACCTGGTGTGGCCAGGGTGGGCAGAGGGCACAGGTTAGCCAGGACCTCCCGGGCTCTGCAATGGGCAAAAGTACCCTGTGATGGGCACTGAGACACAGCAGGCGCCGTGCGGGGAGCTCAGTGGCTGGGCCTACGCCGCAGAGAATGTCAATAAATGAGCTCTGCTCACGAGCCACCTGAGGACGAACCATGCTCGCGGGTGCGAACACATCTTCCTCACGCCTTAGATGAACCCCAGAGCGAACATGATGCCCCCGCTCCCTGGTTCTCTTCCTTCACTAACGCTGCTGATTGTGACTTCTCAGTGCAATCTGAGAATATCGTGCTCGGCTAGCCTACTCAAAATAGGTTCAGAAGAGGAAATACCACAGGCCACAACAAATTATTATTATTACATGGCATGGCAGACGGGGCAAGACGGCAGGAGAGGGAAGACGACCCACAGGAGGGCTTCTGCCACGGAGGTGTGCACACGCCACCAAGGCAGACCCACTTTCAGGTGTCACAACAAGGCTCTTAAGAAAGTGACAACCATTTTCTAAAATAGCTTTGGTGGCAGGGCTCAGCAGGTAGGGACCCAGGGTCACACACGCATTCTGGTAGCCAGTGTAGTTTCCGCCAAGCTCTACTGGTTAAACAGGCTTTCGCCACGAGGGCCTGGCTGCCTGCGCTGTAAAGACCCTAAAGGACAGTAAGGTGGCTGCTGTGCTTAACTGTGGCATGGGTGGGCCTGGAGCAGGGTCTAACACCGGACCACACCGCTGTCCATAAACAGTTAACCCAAGGCCTTAAAAACTTACCATGGAATGAATGGATGGGCCGTTAACAGAGAAATAATAAACCTATGATCGATCACATCCCATATTTATTTTCTTCCATTATATTAAAAATATATTAACCTAAAAGTGGGTGCTGTGTCCCTTTCTGTACAGAAAAGACAGAAAATGACTCCTTAGAGTGTTTATCTTCTACCTGTTTAGGTATGCTCTGCCAGGGGCCAACGACTAAGTCTCTTCTCTTCATCCATGGCAGAGACCCAGGAACATGACAAGGGGCTGTGTTACCTGCAGAAGGGGTTCGTCCTGCACCCACATGCAGTAGAAGAGTCCTTTCCAGATTTTTAGGAGTTCTTCTTGAGTGAAACCTCCTACGGGGAAGAGACAGAAAAATGAACAAGTAAAGAAACCTCTTCAGAGCCTAGACTTCCTTTCTTACAAGTTTAGAATTGTGACAAAAGTGGTGTCAACCCCTCTAAGTGTGGAGCACACATCTCCTTTGTGACAAACACACACACAGACTACTGTACATGCAGATTTGAGGGCACAGAGAGGATGGCAGTGGTGCACGTCCCCTGTGCTGAGTGACATGGGAAGCGAATGTGATCACAACGAAATTAACCACGGCTGGGGGCACAGCTCAGCAGAAGAGCGCTTGCCTAGCATGCAGGAGGCCCTGGGATCCACGTCCAGCACCACCAAAACCAAACCAAACTGAACTAAAGCAAAGGTAACAAAACACCCCATGAGGGGCTCATTTCCACAGTCAGGTCCCACCGAGGCACACTTTGTTCCAAACTGCACCACACCCTGCACAACCTAAACGAAGAGGACCTTCAGATCCCTCCGGGTGCAGGACTCTCGGTGACCCCAAGCCCTCCCCCACGGGCAAATTCAGGGAGGGAAAGGCCCTGGGAAAGCTCAGGCAACTTTGGAATGTGCTTGTACAAGAGAGCCTCACGTGGTCATCCCCCATCTCCTCCTCTGGGACAGTGGTCACCTGCTGGGCAGTTTAAGCCTGTTTTAGGTGGCATCCTGCGGGTGGCCTCACCCTCCCTCCAGTCCCTCAGGGCCCCCCTCTGCCTTTCTATCCAGGATGAAGCCACCAGGCTCCCTCAGCATGTAACTCCTGGGCCACCCCAGGTGCCACAAAATAATGTGCTAAGCAGCACCAGGAATCACAAATGGCACCGCAAGCACAGGCTCTTGGTGTTTCTAAGCCCATGGACCATGAAACCAGAAAACAAACAGCTCTTCCAGTTTCCACATGTTACTAATGGGCTTTACTGACCTATTACTAGGAAGTAGTAGGAAAGCTTTTGTTTTACTTTTGAGACAAGGTCTCAAGTTGCTAAACCACCCAGGCTGGGCTCAGTCTTGTGGTCCTCCTGCCTCAGCCTCCCGGTGATGGGATTACATGTGTGTACCGCCACACCTTCCAGGAAAAATCTTCTGGTGGTGGCAAACTGGAATAAGCCAGATGAATGCAGACAAGTACACACCTGCAATCGATGTAATCTCAGTACTCAAAAGGATGACTACAAAAGTGACAAGCAGTTTCCTGGTGACAGACAGGTCGTTACCATGTTCAGAGTAAGCTTACTCTGTGTTGTAGGCTGACTCCCAACTTGCTAAAGACTTTTCTCATAAGCACTGTGTGGTGCTGCATTGATTCTTCTGCGCTCATTTCCCTCTTACAACCAAGATAACAGAAACCACAGTAAAGTGAGTTAAAAGTATATTTCCATCCAGAGCTGTGCAGGTGATACACCAAAAGGCTTCCTCCCTCTTGTTAGAAACGAGTCACATCTGGGGACTTCGACACTGGAACACAAGCATGGTACAGATGCCACCAGAGCAGAGCCAATGGCAGTCAGGCTAGCTCTGGCGGGGTGGCACGGTGACCTGCTCTCATCGGAATCATTTTCAAAGCCCCTGCACATCCCCAGCGAGCTGGTGGGTCTGAGCAAGGATGGAGGCTGCTAAAACATTAGATAAAAAGGCATCGACTTTAAAAGGAGGAGCCAGATCAGCAGCAGCCAAACCCACTCCCACTGTGCAATCAGAACTTCCACAGGTAATCTCACTAGATGCCACGGGAAAACAAACCGGCCTGGCTAAATGTTCTTATAGAAAATGGAAGTCGCAAATAGACACCCTCAACTGTGTCAAATCTACCTATGGGAACATCTTAAAACTAGACCTCAGGATGTTATTGGCAAAACCCTAAATACCAAAACTCTGCAGGACAAATGAACCACATCTCCCAATACATAAGCTGTATGGAAAAAAAGGCAAGCGCTGTTAGAATCTAATCAGCAGACATTTATTTACCAACCAAAGGCAACAGGTGGGTCTTGTCTGGATTTTGATTTGTCATAAAAACCACATGTGAGTTGGAAGGCAAACTCGGCAGTCTGGTATTTGATGACATTAAAGGCACAAGGACGGTATCGTGTTTATGTAAAAAGGGGGGTCTGTCCTTATCTTTCGGAGATGCATCCTGAGGTATGTGGAACGGGGCGCCCGTGATGTGGTTCCCAAGAAGCCACCCCAAGGGGGAAGGGGCAGATTAGACCACCTGGCCAGGGGCCGGAGATGCAGAAGCACAGAAATAGGACACTTTCAAGTCTGAAATGAGACTACAGAAGGGACCCCATGAACTATTTTTCTTTCTTCTCTCTCTTTTTTAAACAAAATGTGACTGGGAAATAAGAAACATTCATGAACTTACAAAAAGAGGATTAAAGGAACTGGGTTCCTGAGGTCAGAGCCTGGGCACTCCTGCTGCTCGCTGGGCAGCTGCATTGGTGCCCCTCCCCCAAGCTATCCACTTTCAGGACAAAGGGCTGTGGAGAGCGCAGAGGTCTGGGTAGGGTGGGCTCTGCTCAGAGGGGAGGCCGCTGCAGCAAGGGTCTTAAAGGATCTTACAGGAATGGAGAAAGGTCAGGCATGGTAGCACGCGCCTGCAATCCCGGGAGCCAATCTCAGGAGGCCGAGACAGGAGGATTGCTGTGAGTTCAGGGCCACTCTGGACTACACAGTGACTTCAAGGTCAGCCTGAACTACACAGCGAGACCCTGTCTCAAAAAACCAAAAACAAAAAACTTAGTTTGGCTTGGATGTTCTGTCAAGTGGCAACTTAAGGATCCTAACTAATGAAAACACATTTTTATTTAGAAACATCTACTTTCAATACAGGTATAAAAATCACTTATTTTCCCCTACGAATTTAGTGGGTAACAAGATATTACTTTCTGAAGCAATTCAAGGAAAGGAAAGAAACAGTGATTTCTTTCAAAACTCTAAAGGGTGAAGTACCTATCTGAGGTACGAGACTTTTGTTCCTCAGTTTCCTGTGTAATTTATCTTCTTTCCTGGGGATACATTTATTAAACTTAATACGACTAAGCTTTTGATACAGTTTAGGTTCAGTTATTTTAAAATGAGTGAGGTGAACATGAAAGTGAGGACAGGAGGACAGAGGAAATAGCAGTAAGTTCTGAAATGAGAACACAGCAGAGCTCTTCTCTCCCGAAAACGGGCACGGGAGCCACTTCAGACGGGGCAGCCTCATGCGCTAACCCAACCCACACCCAAACACCCACAAAGCCCACTTGCGGTAACTCCACCGCCAGTAAGAAAAAACACTCGGGGCAGTTGTCACCTCCACTAAAGCTGCCACACCACCAACACAGATGCTCTGCTGCTTTCCATGGCACCAAAAAGGGAGCAACGACCCAAACGAAGGTGTCACGAGATTGATTTTTAAGATGCATCTGTTTTAGACATTAAGCGTTAAAGCCAGGGATTTGGCTCAGTGGTTCTGCTGCCTGCCTTGCAAGCGCAAGAACCCCAGTTCAATACCCAGTACACCCCCGCCCAAAGTTTAAAGTACAGAAAGGGAGGGATTTTCCAATACATTGCTGTATTCCCGGGCCAAGAACAGTGTACGTAAAAATGGCATACAGCTGGTGTGTGACCAGTGCATGCTGTAATAGGGAATAAATGGCTAAATCAGGACAAAGGCGCCATCAGGACTAAAACCATGGGCAGGGACTATTTCAGGACGGCACGGACTCAACTTGGAACAGTTCAGGTTGAGCCGGAGCCCCCTGTTTTAAGCAGTACAGATTTCCACCTTTGTTCTTTAAGATCACAGACCTATCTATGATGCTGACAGATGGGTACATGTTTCAGTAATAGCATAAAATTGCAGGTTACCAGGTTACCAGAAATAAATGAGCTTGTCAATGAGTCAAATGTCGGGCCAAGTTATTTCCAAACTTGTGCTTCTGTGGATGCAGCACATGGCTGAGACCGTGTCTCCTTCTTCTTCCATTATTTCTGAGCCACACTCATCTGCAGCACCGAGTTTGAAGGTGCAGCACGTTCCGTGCAATATGGACAGGGTGACAGACAAGGTGAACAAGACAGCGGACTCTGGGTGTGATGGCTGTTAACCAGGCAGGACCCATAGCACTGGTGGAAACTGACTGCTTTCAGGACCCTGCACCACCTAGACTTTTGAAGTCCTAGGCCTGCTCACTGAAGGAGTTTCAGCAACAGGCTGTCTGGACGCCAGGTCCAGAAGGGTGGCACCTGTCCTTCCTCTTGTCCACAGCCAGGCCCTCATAAGGCTGGATGGGATGCTTAAGCAAGGTTGCCAAGTACTACAATAGAAACAGCAGTGTTAGACCCCAGAGGAGCAGCAGCGGGCTGCTAGGGAGGCTTTCTGGAGGAAGGGATGTGGGACTGCATGCTGGGAGCGGAGAGGGTGCCGGGTTCCTGCAGAGTGAGGAAACACAAAAGCAAGGAGGTAAGAAATGGTGCGTGGTACATGAGGAACCACAAACGGTTCTGCTGACAAAGCACACAGCAGTCACGACCAGGCTTACTCAGGAACAGCAGATGAAGATATCATGACCCACAAACTCGAACTTCAAAAAAGGTGGCACAAGCCATCAGATTTGTTTCAGGAAGATGACCCTGGGCTGGTCTGTGGAGGGCAGACCCAGAGGGACACAGATGGAGTTCAGGACATCAATTAGGGAGCAAGCAGGGGCAGGAGTCTGGGTGAGCTAAAGGCTCTTGTGGTTAGCAAGTCAAAGTAATGAGTTCAAGAGGGTAGAGAGAGAGGAGTCCGGGGCAATGCCATGTCCAGCTAGAGCCCGAGTGGGTGGGCAGCAGAGGAGCAGGAGGAGGAGGGAGAAAAGTTCTTTGGGGAAGCCCTTTTGGGGGGATTCTGGGCACTGGTACGAGGTGCCTGTGGGATGACCAGGTGGAGTGCTACGCTAGCAGGGCACATCTCAGCCAGAAGTAGGAAAGGTCTGGGCTAGCAGCTTAGGTTTAGGAACCACTGGCACACACGCATAGGATCCTGAAGATGGAGCATGTAAACTGGCTCTCGTAGAGATTCCGAACAGAACTAAGTCTGGAATTTTGGTCCTCATTCCTCTAATGAGATTTTCCCCATAAGTGTTGTCTCTCTTCCCCTCCCTCTCTCTCTTAGCAGTGGTCTCCTGTGATCTCTCTTCAACATAAACTATAACTGTCACAATGAGAGAATATTTATTATTCTAAGAGGATTCCAAATGCACTATTACCAGCAACTAAAACGTCAAGCAACTTGGTGCAACAGGAAACCTCAACTGCACAGTGCAGTCCACACCTTATGCCCGCACATCGGGGTTTATAGAACCTCTTCTGAGTCAGGTAAATAGGCACTCCACTGCAGCTAAAATCCAAATTACCAAGCCCCGATGGATCTGGCCACTGCCTCCATTTTCAATCTCATCTCAAAACAGCCTCTTCCCCAACTCACTGGGTCTTCCCACCGTTCCCAGGGCAAGCTCGGCTCTTCCCTGCGTCTGGCCGGGTCTAGGGTTGGACACCACCGCGCGAGGCTCCGACAGCCTGTTTTTGTTTTTTGAGACAAGGTCTCACTATGTAGTTGAGACTGACCTGGAACTCACTATGTACCTCACGCTGGTCTCGAACTCATAGTGATCCTCCTGCCTCAGCCTCCCGAGTGCTGGGATTACAGGCGTGAGCTACCACGCCCGGCTTTTCCGACAGCCTCTGCAGAGCTCCCTCATTTATTTTTCCATTCCCTGGTCCTCACTCCCTTCCCGCACACACGCGCTCCACTCTACTTGCCACTTCCCTCTCGTCTCCCTGCTAAAGTTCCTCGAGGGCAGGGATGCTGTTTGTCTTCTGCGCCCCCAGCACCTAAAGGTGTAGCCGACAAAGAAAGGCGGGAATCAAGGACTAGAACCGCAAAGTTGGGGCGAGGGCGAGCCCAGTGTCCGGGGGCGCGAGCGTCAAAGCTCACAGACCCGGAGCGGTCTCCCTCCGCCGATCACTGACGTCCAGCACAGGACTGAACCCCTTGGCCGCTCGCCCGGGCTTGTGCCACCCCGGGCG